ATGTTTGGCAATTGTTACGCGGTCCACATTTTGGTCAAACGGGCCCCTATTCCACTATTCCAATACACAGATCAGTGGAGGCATGGGTTGCTGGGGGTTGGGATGATTACTGGAGATGACATGGATCATTTCCCGCGCTGAAAGAAATGCATGGTCTGTGTATCTGTGGGAAAACAAAAAACATGGTATGATCTGTACTGATTTTGTGACCCTGAAACACATTATTCATTATTCATTACTTATAGACTATGTATTATTTATGTGCATTGTCATGTATTATCATGTATTGATTTTATAGACAAAGTAAACGGCTTTCTTGCTGATATATGAAGTTTGCCCGTCCTTTCTGAACATCAGGGCTATATGTCCGGTTGTTTGAGGTAATCAAACACTCCATGATTCTCCGCAGACACGGTCAGTTGAACCATCAATGATGGCCTGAAGCATCAACTAAGAACTGAAATTTAAGAGTTGAGTTGATAATCTTTGATGTTTTGAATGGGATATCAATACACACAGGATCCATGTATGCTGTATATGGTAACATTTACCATCAATATGCCCCCAATGTTAGCATATATACCATACATGGATCCTATGGGATATGATATTAATGATATAAAGGTGTATATATATATATAAATCATCAACTCAATCTCGCGCAAAGCTCAAAACACAGCTTGTGATCTCCGCGACCCGATCCTGAGGACCCAACCCAGAGCCTAGCGGAGCGGCTGAGAAAACACTGCGGTGTTTGACCCCGTTTCTGCCCCGGAAATGTGCAGAAATGTACAGAATATCAGTAATAATGAAGGAATGAGGGAATGATCCACTGGCTAACTATCAGTAATAATGAATTAGAAATGACTTACTGGTGCTTAGGGAAGGAGGGAATGATCCACTGGCTAACTATCAATAATAATCCCAGCAACCCCCAGCAACCCCCAGCAACCCATCCATTCCCTAAGAAAAAGTAAGATTATTCCTGATTCCAAATGGTGACCGCCAGGTCTAAATTGGGTGACTTGAGGTTTTTCGTTTTGGACGCGCGTTGGCATCTTCTAGGCTCGTTAGCGAGTCAGGAGCGAATCTGACCCTGGAAACACAACAGAAACATCGCCGACCGAAACGATTTGGCAGCCCCAGTCATGACTAATCTGGTGATCACCATTCAGCACCCACAGCACCCGGTCTCCCTACAGTCGACATCAACTACGTGTTCGCTGTTTTGCGGGATTGGGCATTTTTGACACCCCTGAACCCATCCAAAAATCGAAAAATCGAAAGGTTTTGACCAAAAATCGACAAGCCTAGCTGGTTGGGGGTTGAGCCACCCCTCTGAAAATTATGAGTTCGTCAGTTGGGATGATAAAATTCCCAAGATATAGAAGATATTATTCCAAACCACCAATCAGCTAAGGTGTTTCCAGAGATTTTGCCCTGTTTTGCCTCAAAATCTTCGGGAGCCTTGGCTCCAAAAATCTTCGGCAGCGCTGAAGCATACCGAAAGTGCGGAAGAGTCCATGAAGTTCTTCCTGGGATAAAGCCCTTCCCTGTACTGCTAAATCTTCACATTGATATTGATATGTGATATTGTGGTGTGTATGTGTATATATAGATATAGATAATAGATAATAGATAATAGATAATAGATAATAGATATATGATATATGATATAGAAATAGAAATAGATATAGATATAGATATAGGGAGAGAGAGAAAGAGAAAGAGTTCGTATTAGCTAGCTAGATAGGTAGATAGATAGATAGATAGATAGATAAATAGCTAGACAGATAGGTGGGTAGATAGGAAGATAGGAAGATAGTAAGATAGGTAGATAGTAAGATAGGTAGATAGATAGATAGATAGAAAGAAAGATAGATAGATAGATAGATAGGTAAATAGGTAGATAAGTAGAAAAGGTAGATAAAATATATAAATAGATAGATAGATAGATAGATAGATAGATAGGTAGATAGATAGATAGATAGATAAATAGATAGATAGATAAATAGATAAATAGATAGATAAATAGATAGATAAATAAATAGATAGATAGATAGATAATGATAGATAGATAATGATAGATAGATAATGATAGATAGATAGAAAAATTTATAGATGGATAAATAAATAGATGGATAGATATGTAGATTAGACTAGATTCGGTTCGGTTCGATTAGATTACATTAGATTACATTAAATTAGATTAAGATTCAGAGTAGGAATAAGATGAAGATTAGAGCAGATAAGTTAGACTAGAGAAGATTGGACTAGATAAGATCAGATAAGATTAGATTAGATTAAGATTAAGATTCGAACAGGTAAAATAGATTAGAGAAGATTGGATTGGACAAGATTAGATGAGATAAGATAAGATTACATTGGATACGATTAGATACAATTAGATACGATTAGATTAGATTAGATTCGATTCGATTAGATTAAGATAAGATGAGATTGGATTGCAGATAAGATTAGGTTAGATTAGATAATATTAGATTAGATTAGGTTAGATTAGATTAGCTTGACTAGATTAGATAAGATTAGATTCGGTCAGATTGGACTGGATTGGATTTTGGACTAGATTAGGCTAGACTAGACTACAGCAGATAGATAGATCGATAGATAGATAAATAGATAGAAAAATAGATGGATAGATAAATAGATAGATACATAGATAGACAGATAGATAGATAGATATAATAGATAGGATTAGATAGGACTAGATACGATTAGATAGGATTAGAAAGGATGAGTCAGGATCAGATAGGATTGGATTAGATTAGATATGATAAGATTAGATAAAATTGGATACGATTAGATAAGATAAGATAAAGTTAGATAAGGTTAGATTAGATGAGAATTAATTGGCTTAGATTTAATTTGATTCGACTGGATGAGATTAGACGTAGCCGTAGACTTATATGCATATTATACATAGTATTAAATAGATTATTCTATTACAGATTATTCTATAGATTATTAAATGGATCATTCTATAGATTATTCTATGAATTATTATATAGATTATTCTATGAATTATTATATAGATTGTTATATAGGTTTCTTCTTTAGATTATTATATAGATTGTTATATGGATTATTCATTAGAGTATCGTATGTATATATATATACACATTATCATATAGATTTAATATAGATCGTTGGATAGATTATTCTATAAATCATTACACTATATACATTGCACTAGATTGGATTT